ATTGATTTTACAATGATGTGCGTTTTTTTATTTTTTTTGTGTCTGTCATCACATTTTAGGAAATTTTTAGGACAGTAAAAATGCTTAGATTTTCTTCAACAGTAGCTTTTCTGATAGGAAAGTGAATCTTTTTGGTACTTTGGGGGGTCGAAAGTCAAATTTCCCAGTAGTTTTCAAAAGCGGCGTGAAAAACAAAATAAAAATTAAGGAAAAATGGGAATTTTTACACTAAAATCTGTTTTCGAAAAAATCGATTTTGGTTTTTGGTGCAACTCTTAAACAAATGACCGTAGGTAGGTACATGGAATTTTGACTGAATGTTTGTGTTAGCATTTTCTATACACGATAACATTTTCAAAATGTTTTGATTTATTTTGAACTGTTTAGGCACATTTTCATTTTCCATATTGTTTAGTTGTTTTTCTAAAAATATCAATAAAATTTTATTTGTTGGTTAATAATGCTTGAAAATTGAATACAAGGCTCCTGATTTATTGTTACTATATCAATTGAAAAATATTAAAAATACATAGGCACAATTTTTTTTTTATAAGTATTTTAGTTCAACTTTGGACAAAATTACATAAATAAAAACCTAGAATAACTATTTTAGTTATTTTGTTGTGATTGTGTAATATTATTCATGGGTAATTGAAACTTCTAAAGTACATTTTTATATATCTATGGAGTATGGACTATGATAGTATCAGGGTTTTTTGGTTACGTATAATGCATTAGAAGTACCTAATGGATATTGTGATATGATTAATTTGGAATTTATTATAGGTACCTATTTTAGGTAAATATTTTTTTATACGATAGATAAGTATATATTAATATGTCTAAATGTCTTATACATAGACTGACATAATGTCTCCGCTCAGAATCGTTTTTTTTATACAATGATATTATATCATTGAATTCAAATTTAATACTATCCATTATACCTACAGTGACCCACTTGTAACCTACTGTACAGCAGAGCGCCTTTTTTTAATTTTTTTTTCTATTAATATCAAAAAAAATTTGTTTGTTTAGTCAAAAAGCCCCAAAATTTAATAAAAGTCTCCTGATATATTGTTAAAATATCAGTTGAAAATTTTAAAAATACATAAGTACAATTTTTTATTGGTATTTAAAGTTTTAAGTTCAAATGCTGACAACATTTATCAAATTGAATATTTAAAAAAATTTTGTAGTTAAAAATTTATAAAATATTCAACTTTTACACCTAAGGATTGAAAATTTAAAACAAAGTTCCACATAAATAATACTTATAATATACAAATTATTTTATTCACAATAATATCATGAAATTATATGTGCTTAGTAATATCATAGGCTGACTGACCTATACTATACTTATGGGCTAAAACTATATTATACAATGATTTTATATTATTGAATTCAAATTTAACACAATAAATTAGAGTGATCCACTAGTAACCTATTATGCAGCAGAGCGACACACGCTTGAAAATCTTTTTTTTTTTTTCCCAGAGCTTTAGTAAACTACTGAGTATTTTGACTTTTGACTCCCCCAAAATATCAACTAGATTCACATTCCTACTAGAAAAAAAAGACTATCCCAAAAGGTGATGACTGAGGTGAAAAAAATAACTTATCGTTGTAAAATCAATACATACTTCACTCCTTTCAGAATCTACAAATTTTAAGAACCTAAAAATCCACTCTTTATTAGTAACTAAAACTTTTGCAATGGTTCACTAGTAAATAGTTGGTTCACAACTAGATGTCTGGATAGGTACTGACGACCAACTAACTACTGTTAGAAATTAAAATATTTTAATAATTATAGGTGCCTACCTTCAATAACCTGATCAAGAAATAATTAACCAGCAATATTGGATTTTTAATAGGTCCTATAGGTAATGATTTACAATTTTGGGGAATCAAACGACTTCCTAATCAATATACCTACTGAATAGAAAATCATCCTACTGGTAATAAAATGGGGACCAAAATATATTAATCTTATATCTTAAAGTATAAAGTGTGTTTTTACAGTTCTATCAATTCTATAAATAACTATTAAAAATATATATCACCATTAGCTTTAATTGGTTACCTCATTTAATTAATTACCTATTATTCTCTAATAAATAGATAGTCTCATCGATTAAGTGCAAAAATAAAATACTTGTATAAAAGAATACTGTATTTAATATTACAACATCTTACTTAAACTGGTTAAAATATTTTAATTATTAAAAAGTACATCTTATAAATTATTTTTAGTTCTGTAGGTATCATTGACATCACAAATAAGGTAACTTTAAGAGACACTATTGCCATTCAAGTCGCTCATGATGTATGACCAATATCAGCCGATTATCTTCAACTACAACTACAGTATTCTATACTATTTGCAATGTGCATTAAAAATAGTCATGGTAGGTACATTTCAAAGAGGGCCAACAAGTAACAATAAATTATAGTATGAGCGACACAAAAATTAAGTATACCAAAATATGAAATAACTCTAAATAATGTGGTATTATAATATAATATTACTTAATTCTTGCTATTTACTTAACTATTGTGCAAAAAAACCACCATTCTAACATTTGTCAATTAATTAAAAACGAACAATACAAGAGGAACAATAATTATAACAAAAATGCAAATTAAAGCTACTCACAAATAATCTAAACCAGATTAATAGTACATAGAATGTAACTATCAATGTTAAAATTCCAAACATGATTTTAAACCACCCCGAGACAAGAATACAATATTAATATAAATACAATAATATAAAATATATATTATATATTCATACAGTTATTACAAAGTTATCGCCTCAACATAAATTACTCTAAAAGTTATATCAAACATCAGTTATAAAATTACTAAATATATTGTTATCAGTTATATATAAATAAAATTGTGGTCCACTTTATTGTTAATTAGTTAAATAAACATTTTTCAAGCAAAACAATTCTCATTCAAATATTTTAACATATTAAAACAATATTCAATGGTAATTATTAACCTACTCATTATAGATCAAAAATAGTAGACGTAAATACTGCATACCATTAAGAGGACCCCACACCCGTGTTAGTTGACTCCATTTAAAAGCACATAATATAGAAAATGTATGTTCAGTCTACGCATTGATTTTAGAATATACAAATAAACCATGGTTAAGAAATATTAGATTTTATAAAATCAATAGTGAAGTTCACAAAATATTACAATATATGAAAATGCTCATAAATTGTATTAAAAATAAACTATGCAAAAAAACATTGATAACTCACAGATATTGTTATTCCTTTTTAATTTTATAATAGAAACCGAGATTAATTCACTCTAAAATTAAAACTGAATAAATACTACTGAAAGTAAATTATTGTAAAATAGAGAAGGGTTAAACACTAATTAAGTAATTTTAACACATTAATATACAACCAATACAAAAAATAAAATTTGTTTTTATTTTTATTTTTTCATAAGTGTTAAATGATAACAAACAATACTAGAATATTAGTAATATTATTAAAAATATTAAATTTAACAAACACCATAAATTATTAACTATTTTAATACTCTTTTAACATAATATTAACGTATTGTAAAATGTTCATCCCAAACATTGTATATTTTCACTAGAGATCGTAATTATATGCAAATTGCATGTACATTGCATTCCTTTTTCTTACACTCTTAATAAATAATCATTATATTTATGTCTTTAGTTCTCAACTTTTAATTATTTACAATAAAAACAGGATGATAAACTAAACTTTAACTTGAAAATGAATTACTAATTTACAGGTATGTGGGTGGATAAGATCTAAAAATATAGAAAATTAGTTTCCTTTAGTTTTTTATTGACAGATTATAATACTAAATACTGAAATGTCTAATGTTTTTCATTTATATTTCATGATATATACCTTGTAAGAACTTCAATAATGTATAGATAAAAATTATTATTTTATATACATCAACAGTTTTAATGCACTAACATAATAATTTATATTATTTTATTGAAAAACTACAAATTAACAATTATAAATACAAGGGTTATTTACTTTTAAGGGGATCGCATCACACGTATTTTTCGTACGTTTTAGACCAATAAGCGGTAATAAATTACACATACTTCTGAATGCCCAATTTTAATATAAGTATGAATTCTTTAGCAAAATAATTAGGCTTTCTAGGAAGTCGATTTTCAATTTTAAAGGACCATGAAATTTGGATATTTTTTTAACAAATCTCATGAAATAATTGCATTACATTTATAATTATTTTGGGTTTTTAGGGTTTTATTTCAAAAAATTGGTTCCTACAAAGCATAGTCTAGAGACTAGAAGCTTACGAATTCAAACTTTTTTTTCGAAATTAAGTAAAAACTGCTTAATTATATTTACTATTAAATTTGATATTCAAATCAGAATAAAAAAATTTACCATGTAATTATTATAAAAATTATATTATTCATTAAATATTTCATTAATTGTACAGTGAATTCCGCTTAAGTGGAACTCTGTTCACTATTTGTTTTCTCTCTCTCACCCACGCCCAACTACCAAATTTAGATGAACCAACCCTGTGTTATTATTCCTAATATTAGAGTGAATTCACCTATTACCAAACTTAAAGTTTAGAACATTCAATTAAAAAGTCAATTTAACATTCGTAACATAAGATTTGGTTTGGGTTTATCTTTCCTGATTTCAATAAACTATTAATTCTATAAACCAGTGATCACATAAGCAGAACTCACTATAGTTATATTATTTTTAATATCATTGTTATTTTGACCCTTTTGACATTAATTTATGTATTATATTTTATACACCTTCAGTACATATAATCCTGATCTCTAGTTTTACCTGTTATCTTATACAAATTTTAAATTTGCCTAAGTTTAATATTATAAATAACACGTTTTTGTTCTATTTTTAACTTGGTTTATAAAAAAAAAACACTTAAAACTATAACAACTTAAATTTTAATAATATTCAATCGCACTTTTCATTGTTGAATTGTTGATTGATTTTCCATTTATTGTCGATTAAAACCACTTTTCCGTCCTTCTCCAATTTAGCAAGATGATTTTTCACAATATATGATGCTATTCTCTTGTAATCATTAGGGATAAGCTAAATAAAATAAAAATATTATATAAGCAAATTAAAAGTATGATTCATGTAATAGCAAAATAAAATATAATAATAAAAATGTAAACTTGCCTTATACATTACATTTACAATTTCTTCTTCAGACAACGATCCAGATGGACTATTATTAATCAAGTTATACAATTCCATTTCTCTTTCTAATCTATGCTTAATATAATTTTTTACTCGCACAATTGGATCCTAAAAATGAAACATTATTAGGTCATTAAAAAATAACTGTTAAAAATAAAAAATGCACTAAACAAGGTCTATTTTTTAATGCTGGGTAGCAAGTTAATGCAATTTTTTAAATCAGTTAATTAGTTATTTTTTCAATTAAGTTAACAAATATCATAAACTCAACTTGACTTCAATTAATAAGTTAAGTTAAGTTAAGAATAATATGTTGTCTCCATCTTGCACATGTACAGCTTACCAAAAACTGTTTGCTGCGGCAAAGAACAGAGAAGACTACAGTCATAACTAGAGAGCAGATCTTTGGATTTTTACATATTTTTACTGGCTTTAAGCAACTTTACGAGGATGAAAAATGTGGACAACTTATTAATCAGTCCATAGGAAAAAAATTATTTTGCATATTAAACCATATTTTGGACATAAGAAAATATTTGGAATATTTTTCATAATATTATTTAACAATATTTTCTATTATTGTTTAATAATTAAAATTTTGTAAATTTCTCGATTTGTGATTTTTTTCTAGCAACAACTTTTTCTACAAAAAAAAATTATTTGATTTAAGAATGATAAGAATTAAAAATCATTCAATTATCTAGAAACTTATTTTTATTAAAATTGGTAATGTTGGTGATTCTGTTACTCTCAGTTCGTGATTGTACCATAAATTATTGTATTTTATATCTCATACCTAACGTGATGAGAATGTTTTTTAATAATAAATTTGTTTTTACTTTTATATTTAAATAATTTACCTGTTATCAAAGGAATGGTGCATAACAGTTATTTATTGTTTTCACTAAACTAACTAAGAAAAAAAAATCATATTATGGGTATATTTATGAGTTAAAGTAATATTTAGAGAATATTTTAGGGTTTTCTTAGAACATAATATTATCATCATATTTTAAACTTTTAAGAACCTAAACATCCGCTCTTTAGACATAACTAAGAAACAAAATTTTTACCACAAAAAAATGAGAAACTATGTTAAATAGTTTTAATTTTTCTATAATGGAACTTCAAAAAAGTTATTGATTTGAAAAACACAAATAATAATAAATTTTGAAACAATAAGAACTTTTTTTGTATAAGTGATATCAAAAAAATAAAAACTATATGCCACACCCAAAGTTCTCCTATTTTAAGCGGTGAAAATGTTTCTTAGTTTTTGGTATGTTGTACGTTTGTAAGGCGGAGATAACCATGCGTGTACTCTTAAGAAAAAAAAAATCCAAGACAAACTTGGATAACTATTCTCTATATTTATGTCCAATAAGGTATAAGTAAAAAGTAGCAATTCGCATCAATAACTATTAAGTAGGGTTAGAATTTTAAGGTAAATGCATTTCTTTTTTTGATAACAATAGAAAAATAATTTTTTAATTAAAAATAATTGAATTTTTAAGATAAAATAGTCAACAATATTTTTGTTTATTTTGACTTTTTTACCTATAAATGTCTATTTTGCTTTTTTTCTCTTTTAGTTTGAAAGTGTTTAAATATCAGCTGACCTGATTGTTTTCTATACAATATATCAATGGGACAAATCGATAAGTGAAGATGACGCATTGTTGATGTTTAGTTTTATTGGGATTTATAATTGACAATATCGATTAAGTATTTATTATGGCAAGTTAATCTATCATTTTTATACATGGTAATTAATTTGTTTTTTACAAACTAATTAGGTAAATCAACTGATATCTTTTACATTTTTTAGTAAATTTTGTCATAATGCTTTTAAATTTAAATTAAATGGTTTTTTTTTTTTTTACCTCTTTTCATATTTTAAATGTTTTTTTATATTGATTGTATTGAATTCAAATTCAAACCTTACTAATTAGTAAATAATGGTAACAAAATAAAAGTTAATAGATGACCGGTGTCTTTATCTTTTTAATATTACAATATAGTTATAAATTGAAACTGTCACAACTCATGATCGTCGTATTAATAACTAATAAGTAGGCATTATGAATATACATAATTTGTGGGTTTGTTGCTTGTTGTAATGTCTTTATGACTTAATATGATCAACTTATGTTTCCCCTATATTATTAGTAATTAACAGAGCTCAGAACTTCATGCATTTGCATATTTCTTAGATAGCTGCATATGCAAAATCTGATTTGATACTAATTTTTTTCATGATATATACAATCGAAAAACAAAAATATATTTAAAGATTTTAACGGTGGATTGAATGTAAATATTAATTCAGTGGTTCAATAGAATTTGATGGACCAATCATGGGCCACTAAACCAAGTATAAGATGCCATTAGCTCTCTATTGATTCATTAAATGTTTAGTGATTGTTCATGCAACCCTACATAAGCATATTAATGTATATTATGTTTACTAAATATACTAAATCAACAACAAATACATTTTCAATAATTTAAAAAAAGAACTACTACACTGTCGCCTTGTTTATATTTTGAATTATATGATATATCGAATATTAATTGAAAAAATGTGTTATGATCAAGCCAGTCTTATTTAACATTTTTTCAATGCCTAATAAATTATATTTTATTTTTAAATAAATATAGATAAAGTTTTTTCATGTAACTCATGTCATGATTATCTTGGCAAACATTCTTTTATTGAAGATAAAGTTTTACAAATTGTATATATTAAAAAAATAAAATAAATATAATATCTTGATTTAATATTTGGTGTATTTGGTACATTTAACTTTTTTAAATAAAGCTTAAAGATCTACAAACGAAAAATATACACAAAAAATTATTATTGAAAGATAAAATGTCTTTTAAATAATTATGCTTTTTCCAAGTTTATTTATATATAAATATATTGTATTGTACATATATTGTAAAAAAAAATACTTGCATACTATACTGAATATTTTTTTAGTACATGTATGTACACTACACACATATAATACTGCTGTTTTGTGATTTAAGTTTCAAGCCCAGGTAATAAATATGATAATTTAGTTTTAATTTATAAAAATTAAATATAAATCCGAAATTCCATGTAAATACCTACATCATTCTCTTTTCTAATACTTTCTATATTCCAGACTTTTAACTTTATAATAACTTTATTATAAATGGTAATAAGCAAAATATTTGTATGGATAGGTAATATTAAAATTTAAAATCAACTTAATTGGAAATATTCAACAAATTATGAGTTAATTTTAAGATAACATGGAGATAAATGAGTTAAATTAAAGTTAAATTATTTAAGACATTAATATGCAGCCTTGAATTATTTTTTTATGAAATAAAATATATTATACAGTACAAAGAAAACTTCAATATAATAATCAGGGCTACTAACTTATTCCACGAAAATGTCTTAAATATGCAATTATTTTTTTACAAAAATATAAATAATATAAATATTTTTAAAAATGAATAATATTATTCAATACGTGTATATTCATAAATATTTATGTATTATAAGGTCTATTAATATGTATGATCGTGTTCTTTATGATTATAGAATATTTTTAATTTAACTTTTAATATTCAAAGTTAAAAATAATTATTAAATTGATAGTAGGATTTAAAGAATAGATAACTACAAAGTGCATAAAGAATTGTTCTAAAAAAAAAATTATTTCTTGTACGTTTGAAAATATTATTGTTTTTGTTTTTTGTTAATTTATTAATAACATATTATATATTATATTCAACATGAAATCTTCAAAACCACATCAATTTAATAAAACTTGGAAAAATAAAGACAATATACATTTTTGAATTGGAGTTGAATGTATTAAGAAATTAATTTATGTTAAATCAAATCTTTCATATGCAGCTTCCTAAGAAATTTGCAAATACCTGAAGTTCTGAGATTTGATAATAATTACCTTAGCAATTCTTTATCAAAATAACTATATTATATTTGAATTACTTTTATTACAGAGCCGTGACCAGGAAATATAACAGTAGGATTTAAATCTAAAATCAATTGTAATGATTTTAAATATTCTGTTAAATCTTCAAATACAGTAGTTCCCTCTCCAAGTACACTATCAGCAGAGAACAATGCATTATCTTCTTCCAAAAATATAACTATATGATCAGTTGAATGTCCAGGTGTATGATGAATTCTAAAAATATTAAGTAGTAAAATTATAATTGTTTATGCAATGTAAATAGTATGGGAAGAAAATTCAATAATTACATCAATGTAGCACCTTCAACTTCAAACTTTTGTTTATCTTCTACAAAATGTAATGGAAAGTCGTAATCGCGTTTTTTGCCAATTTTGGGATTGAACTTCCAAACTTGACATTCTGAAATATAATTTATAATTATGTATTCATTTATACTCATGTTAAAAATATATTATTTTGATAAAATATACCAGGGGAGAGGAGCAAGGTAATAAGAAAAAATGGGGCTATAAGAAATTTTAAGTTTTAAATTAATTTAACTTAAATGATATCTATTATGTATATATTTTTTTATGAAATATTTTACAATAGTCAAACATAATTATCTGTAATTAACTCGGTAATTAATGTTATTGGTACAATTTTTATTTAAAAAAAAAAATTATTTTATTGCCCCAAATAATTGTCTTATTATTTATCATAGGGGTAATTAGAAATATATATTTGTTTTTGCTACATAAGACCTTATGAAGTTTTCAAGGGCAATAACAGAAAGCTTATATTAAGTTTAGCATGTACCTATAAGCATGACAAAATAAACAGGTATGCTATCCACTAACTAATATTGGTCGAGAACAAGCACGCCTCCCGCACTTCGCCAAGAACTGTGATGTAAGCCGTTCTGCCAGCAGAAATAGTAATAATAATAATAATAATAAATATAACAATAATAATACATAATATCGGAGAACGGATGAAGTAATTTTTGTGGTGGGAGAACACACAGTTGCGTATCAGAAAGTTGATAGTATACCTATTTATTCTGTCATGATCTAATGTATTGTATTTTTAATAAAACGCTGGATTTGAAAAACTAAAATTGATTAATATAGTTCATAAATGTACATTTCAACTATAGTTAGGTATACTAGTAATAAGCAACTGAAGTTGTTTTTTATTATTAAGTACATAACAAACAACTTTTAAATTTATGACCAATTTTAATTAAAAATACCTTCGTATACCAAGGAATAACTATTTAAAAAATAAAATTTGACTCTTTAATATCACTTTTGTATTTCTTTAGTTGATATATAAATTGAGGAATTCTTATTGCATTATATATATATTATATACAAATAAAAGACAAATTTTCTGATGAATTTTGATACCAAATGTTTTTGGTAATAATTTTTTTTTTAGGTTATACTTTATTGATTCTTTGCAAACTATTCTGGGGTATGGTTCAATACTCCTACAGTCCTACTACCTATTTGTGCCTAAATATTTCATTTTGATGACAAAATGTGATTTGCTTGGAATTAATTCTCTTAATACCCCAATTTCCTATTGCCCCGGTCTCCCCCATGCATAGATTAAGAAAAGTTACTTTTATAGAATAGTCATCTTTTAGCACTGTCATATATTAGTGTGTTGTATAAAAATGTACAAAATAATGAATACATTTTAGATTATAATTGTTGAGTTATCTTAGTTATACTAGAAACTATTTAATATAAAAACAAAAAATAATAATAATAATGAATAAAATACATGTTTACTGTTTTAGATACATAAGATTTTTCAAAAATATTAAAATATTATAAGGTTCGCTTTAAATAATAATACATAACATAATTTTAAAAGCTCAAATACTGTAATAAATTGCCCTAAGAAATTAATTCAAGTCATAATCAAGATTGTTTTCCTTTCACTAACATATTAATTTAACCCTATTTATTATATTTTATTTTATTTTTTATAAAATCTTGACTGCAATTCAATTGGCTCAAATAGCATAATGGCTTATTTTTATATACCTACAGAGTATAACTTAATAGGCTAGAATGAGTAGTTAAAATCAGTTTTATAATGCCAATTTTCTGATAAAATATAATATCTGTTTTCAAAATACGATATAAGTACCTACTTAATGTAAATTATTTTATTTGTTATTGACAAAATGTTAATAATAAGCAGAAATAATCATACCACAATATACAATACCTACTCAAATGATTCATGGTTGTTTAGCTGAAAATATTCTACTATAACATTACATTTCTAAAAATTATTTTTATAAAAGTAGAAATACTATAACTTGTTAGGGATTCATCAAAAGGTAATTTATTCTACTGTAATGAAATCACATACATAAGTACATTACCATTTTTATTAGCGATCATATCCAACACATTTTTTACCCCGCCAATATGATCCGAGTGCCAATGTGATATTATAATATGATCAAGTTGAAAATTAAACTTTATCATAGTTTCCTGAAGATTTTTTATATATTCTGGAACATTTGGCTCTCCAGCATCAATTAAAATACGTCTGTAACAAAATGTTGTATTAGCAAATAAGGTAAATATATGAATTTAAATTAAAACTATTATAATTTTACATACAAGGATAATGTAATTTAAGGGGATTCCATACCGACCGTTTTTAAGGAGTTGAGTATAGGCAATCTGTATAGTACGTTCATGCGTGGCGTGCATGTGTGTGTGTAGTAAATGATCATTAGTGTGATTGACTGACGGCGAGCTAGATAAACGTTGCGCACTCACACTCGCATGCACATGTCACATGCCTAACAACAAATTTATTTCATGGCGAAATGTTGTAAATCAAAGACCTAACGAATTCTAACATTCCGACCTGAGTTTTACACCGATAATAATTTTGAAAACAAATTTTGTTTTGTTGTTCCATCAACTTTGAATCCTTCGAGCCATATTTTTAATTTATTATTCTTAAAAAGAAAAAACCTCACTTGAAATTTAAAAAAAAAAAACTTGTATTCTTAAATATTTTAATGGACATAAATAGTTTATTTTTTTTATTATTATTCTAATTCAAAGGATTCAAAATAGACTTCATAATAAATTCAAATATGTTTTCAAAATTATTATAGGAGTAAAACTCAAGTTAGTCATTGGAACGCGTATAGGTCTATTTTACTCTAAAAAGCGGTAATGTGGAATCCCCTTAAAGTATTTGTTTTGAATAGGTATATATAATAATATTAGATTATTACTCTGGATTATTATACCTACCTATTTCTAATTCGAAGCTTATATTCCAAAAGTTAAATACAAAAGTTTGTAAGCAGAATATACCTAAAAAATATATATTTTAGATAAGAAATGTGAACCTTATTACATTTTAAATTATGAGTCTCGAATATTATTTATGAAATTTGTGTTGTCACTTGCATAATAAAAATGTGTGCACAAAATGTGTCCTACTATAACATAAATATGCATTGTAATAATTGGTAGCTAATGTTCCCACTAATGCAGTGTTATCGAATAAAATTTTTTAAAATTTTTTATGACAACAATATTGATAATTCAAATTGGTACGAGCGTTAAACAATACCCGAGGAACCTAAATTTGAGCAAGAAGTTGTCTTCGTACATTACTACTTAACTGTTTAAATAGTTATAAATGAAATACAGATTAGGTGGATACTATGGACAGGCCCAGATATACTAACAATCAAATTAAGAGCATTGCTTAAGGCCCTAAAAAAAAATGCAGACAGCTGATATTAAAAAATATATATAGGTACCTAGTATAACAGATTGCTTAAAAAATAAACAGAGAATTACCTAGTTTTCCCAATAATTTTTAGTGAAGAATTTAAACAATTATTGAATTTTTCATGACGCTGTTATTGTTAATTTTGAGTACCTACTTAACGAAAATAAGTTTAAGACCGTTTAAGACTATTTTACTGTACTGATTGATTTAAACGTAACAGAGTTTTCCAAATGTCAAAAGATTATTACTGTTTAAAGGTATGTTTCTCTTTTGCTTAGGTACCTACTAACTGAACTAGGTATGTAGTGCAAGATCTAATAATCAATTAAAAATACTAAAAAAAAAAGCATTAAAAGAAACATGCCTTTAAACAGTAATAATCTTTTGACATTTGGAAAACTCCGTTAGGTACATTTAAATCAATCAGTGCCTACGGTAAAACAGTCTTGAACTTAACTTGATTTCAAGCCGCTTAATAGGTACGCTTAAAACCGGCTCTGACTATGGAAAAAAACTACAACAAGAATTCTGCCCGTTCAAACGAACCGTCTATACCCGTCTATATTTGATATGCCGATGCGTAAAACATACCGCTGACCCGTGCCAACCACATAAGTATTCGTACCCTGTAGCGTCATGAAACTGGGATTGCATCCCAACACCCGCAGCACTCTGGGCGAGACGCTGCCGACGGCTGGCAGACGGGGCAACGACATCCTGGAACGGGCTCGGGGTTTGGTGCCGCAGAGTCTACTGACGACGGACTGCGGACGGCCGTGATCGGAGATGTGATGGCGAGCGACGGACAAAGCGGACAACCGCCATCCGCCGGACCACCGTGCAGCGACGAACATTGACCTCGCCGAGTGCCGATTACGAGGGCTACCTACAACAACAACAACAACATCGAGAACACCCGTTATCGCCGGCACAACAATATAAACGCACAACAGCGGTCGAATTGAATCCGGCACGACAATCGATCAAAACATTTTACCCGGTGCAGCTGCAACTACTACTGTCGGCGAGTGATGCGAGTCGACGACTTACGACTGGCGACCGTCGGCGCCGACGCGGTTGGACGGCGACAGCGAACGTAGTCGCAGCGTTATCGTCACGACATGGACGACGATATTTTGATTTTCTGACCAACGATCTGTGAGTAATGGGTATACCTATGACCTCAGAGCATAATAATAACTATTATAACGGCGCATTACTCATTAATTACTTTATTACAATATTAGTTATTACCTTCGTATATTTACGGCGAAAAGACGTGAAATTGTTGAACTGAGATAACGTTATCTCGACTCACGGTGATAACAAAACGCTATAAGACTATAAAATTTTGCATTTTTATTATTCAATCGTAATAATATATTAACGGTTGGAATACTTGACAGTAGTTAATTATTTTAAAATCCGGTCATTGTCTTGTTTCTCGTACAAAAGTATAATTTATGATATTTTAATTATTTACGAAGCGTATAGGATTTATCGCAGACGCCTAAAGGCGATTGATAATAAAATAATAGAAGGCCCGGTTTACTGTTCGTTTGATTGCCTAAACGTCACGTTCGACGGGGACTTGGTCGTAATCGTAGGGATTAATTTGTTTATTATTCGCGTAGGAAAATTTTGATCGTGTTGTTATGTTATTATTTTTATGTCCGATGTCGTTAATTATGATAGCCGTCGTTTGATGATAATTTGTTTAATATGTTTGAGTTTTTTAAAGACTCCTATTAAAACGAATTGTCAAGAGTAATAAAATTATTACTAAATCAAATGATCATACAAATTGTATGTCTAATATTATATTAACATTTAGAGATGTACGTTTGTATTATAAAAACAGGAAACAGTGGTTTCAATAATTTTATACAGCTGGCTAAAATATATGTATATTAGCAGTGTTGGGTAGTAACGTGTTACTATAACGGCGTTACTTTGCTTGTACCGCGTTACGTAATTTCATTACAATTATTTCCAAGTAACAAAAAAAGTGCTCTGCTGTACAGTAGGTTAACAGTGGGTCACTGAATAATGGATAGTATTAAATTTGAATTCAATGATATAATATCATTGTATAAGAAAAACGATTCTGAGCGGAGACGGTACCTATGTCAGTCTAGGTACTCGTATAAGACATATTATATACTTATCTATCGTATTAAAAAAATTTACCTAAAATAGGTACCTATAATAAATTTCAAATTAATCATATCACAATATCCATTAGGTACTTATAATGCGTTATACGTCAACAAAAAACGCTGATACTATCATAGTCCATACTCCATAGATATATAATAGTATACTTTAGAAGTTTCAAGCACCCACGAATAATATTACACAATCACAACAAAATAACTTTAATAGTTATTCTAGGTTTTTTTTATGTAATTTTATCCAAAGTTGAACTTAAAATGACTATAAAACTAAACTGTGCTTATGTATATTTAGATTTTTTGGTAACAGAATAAACTATTAACGTGAAATCTTGTTTTAAATTTTCAATCCTTAGATATAAAAGTTGAACATTTTATAAATTTTTAACTACAAAATAATTATTCAATTTTAAATTTGATAAATTTTGTCAAATTCGATCTTTAAATGCTTATAAAAAAAAATTGTGCTTGTGTATTTTTAATATTTTTCAACTGATATTGTAACAATATATCAGGAGCCTTGTATTAATTTTTTACACTTTTTGGCCCAACAGATAAAACTTAATTTATATTTATAGAATAAAAAAACTAAAAAAATTGGAAACTAAAAATGTCCGGAAACACCTCAAAAAGAGTCAAAATATTTTCAAAATTTTAAGGTATATAGGAAATTCTAATATAAACATTCAGTGAAATTTTCATGTATATACAGTTATTCGTTTTTGAATTACAACAAAATAAAGAAATCGCTACATGAGAAATCGTGTGAATATCCAATGTTGTAAAAATTTGAATTTTAAACGCTCATAAAAATTTAATTTGACTTTTTATAGGCATTTTTTTTTCGGATAAAGGTAGATAATCTTATAAGGAATCTTGTATCACATTTTAAAATCTTAGATTTAAAAAGTTAAATTTTTTACCAATACTTAACTCAAAATAATTTGCTAATTTTCGTGATTTTTCATATTTTGTCAATTTTTGGACTTTAAATGCTTATAAAAAAAAACTGTGACTTAGGATTTTTAATATTTTTCAAATGCCATTGTAACAATATAGTAGGAGCCTTGTATTAAATCTTCAAGCTTTTTTAACCAACAAATAAAATGTTATTGATATTTTTAGAAAAAAAATTTAAAAAAAATGGAAAATGAAAATGTGCCTAAACAGTTCAAAATAAATCAAAACATTTTGAAAATGTTATCGTGTATAGAAAATGCTAATATAAACATTCAGTCACAATTTCATGTGCCTACGGTCATTTGTTTAAGAGTTGCACCAAAAACCATAATCGATTTTTTTGAAAACAGATTTTAGTGTAAAAATTCCCGTTTTTCCTTAATTTCTATTTTATTTTTCACGCCGCTTTTGAAAACTACTGGGAAATTTTCACTTCTTACCACCCAAAGTACCAACTAGATTCACTTTCCTAGCAGAAAAGCTACTGTTGATGAAAATCCAATCACTTCTACTGTCCTATAACGTGATGACAGACACAAAAAAAAAATTTTAAAAAAAAACACACATCATTGTAAAATCAATACATTCATCGTTCCACTCAGAATCTAAAATGTAATGGAAATTACTTTTGAAAAGTAATTTATATAGAATAACGCGTTACGGTTTCGAATTATTAAGTTCCTACCTACCTGGCGAATTTAAAAAATATACCTATATATCGATGGCTAAGAGGCCAAAAGTTGTATGTCCCAAACACTAAATTTTTCGGGAGAGCAGTTTTACGATTTTAAATTATTCTACACCAAATAATTTGCGTTGTAGATTTTTGTTTTTCGGTGTTGCAACTGATTTATTTGTAAAATATTCTGTAGATCACATAAATTATTACTTTTAGGTTTTAAAATTTTTTCAAACGTAATTATAATGTTTATTTTAAATTTAAATGGGACTTGTTATGAATGGCAATTATAATATATTTTTACCGTGGACATATAAGGTTTTGATGGACATATTAAAAGTTGTTAATTTAATATAAACTCTAATTAATTTATTACATAAATAGTTAAAATGTACGTAAAACTTATTTTTTTAATATAAAAAATTCAATTTGTTTATAAAATTGCAGTAAAAAAGTAAAAAATATAAAATATATTGGAATTTTTTATTGAATGTGAAAAATAATAAAGTAGCATTTTTCATCAAATTTTTAGTCAAATAAAACCAGTGTTTAATGATATTTTATGCTAAGTGAAGATATCATATTATTTAGTGTAATTTAAAATTAAAAATTTTTACTATTTAAAATAATACATCCGGACATATTATTTTTTATAAATAGATAAACAAATTCAATATTATCTAAAACATTACACGTCCAAAATTCAATAAATTGTTTTTGACAAAAGTAACAAGTCCAGACTTGTTATATTTGTCCGCTTAGTATTTAAATCATGTTAAAATATTTATCGTATGTCTCATTAAATTAGGACTTGTTATATGTGTGCACTAAAAAAACATATCTTGCACTAAAAATACAAAAATTAAAGTATAAATAAAACATGTTTTAATCATGATATTGACTTATAATGTTTTACCGAATCAAAAAGACGACCCAGATAAACCCTATGAACTAATAAAACAATTTTGAGAAAAATTGGACATACAACTTTTGGCCTCTTAGCCATCGATATGTAGGTTTAATGCGGGTATTATTATGTTTACCAATCTAATTACATTAGACATTACACATTAATGTGTATATATTATATTTAATTTTAACTCTCCACAAATCAGTTTTCAATGGTTTTGACATTTGAAATATCTAATTGCACCTAAATCACGAGAACAGTTAATTAAATGTATCATTTAATTTGATTCCATTAAATAGGTTTCCTATGAATAGCTTGTGTGGAAGACTAAGTTTTATACGATCCTATTAACTATAGTCTATTGTTAACTATAGTTAACTATATTATTTTATACATGTTTTATAAAGAATTAGCTTCTTCAATTTGCCTGCAGATGATAAATGCTAGATAAATGATGATAAATTCTTTTTTTTTTTTGTAACGAGAAAGTAATTTGCAAATTTGATAAATGTTGTCAACATTTTAACTTTAAATAATTATGAAAAATAATCATGCATACGTATTTTAATATTTTTAAACTGCTGTTGTAACAATATATGTAATACATTTTCAAATATTTTAAAGGAACGTAAAAATGTAGTTGACTTTTATAGAAAAAAAAACCTAAAAAAATTTCAAGTCTTCAAACAACTAAAAAACTAGTCAAAATAATTTGAAAAAGTAATTAAGTATAGACAATAATAAAATTAACATTTTGTGTAAATTTAAAGTATCTACGATTATTCGTCAATAATAAGAAAATCGTTCTATGAGAAGTCGAGTGAATATCGAGAGTCGTTACAAATAAATAACTTCGAACGCTCATAAAAATGTATTTGTCATTTTGGTAGACATTTTTTTTTCGTTAAAGGTAGACAAACTTATGAGGAGTCTTGTATTAAATGTTCAAATCTTAGATATAAAAAGACAACTTTTTATGAATTTTTAACTCAAATAAATTTGTAGATATTCGTGGTTTTGACGAATTTTATCAAAATTCTAACTTCAGACGCTCGTAAAAATTACTATGGATTAAGCACAACTTAGTTTTTAATTTCCACCGACAACAACAGACTAATGGAACCTGGTATTATATCTTCGACACATTAATAATTGTTTACCTAATGTACCAGCTACCCATACATAAATATTTAGTTTTATTATTTTGAATACAACAAATGTATATTATTATTTATGAAAGTTTATAACATACTAAATCAAGATATTATACAAGATAATTAATGAGTGTAATAAATTAACTAATTAAGTAGGTACCTACATACGGTTATACAAATATATATAGGTAATATAGGTATATGCAAATTTTGTAGGTACCTAAATTTAAAATTGTTTGTCTAGGTGGATTAATTAATGTCACTAGGGTGATGATGGTGGTTTTTTCTTCTCACAAAAAATTAGCTTAACTACCCACTGACTTTAGGTAGATATACTAGATAGCCTGTAGCACGACTTTAAATATTAATTTACTCAAAAATAATTATTGTATTATTGTGGTTTTTAAAATGTTTTCTTACATTATTAGGCCGTTTTAAAATTGATCATTAGTTGTATAACTTGTTTTCAATTTACGATAATTTAAACTATAGGTACTCCAAGATTCGATGCAATATAAGTTATAATATAACACTAAAACAAACAGTATTTTAACATTTCTAAATACATAGGTGCCTTGGTACCTACCTATATTATTATATTCGATTTACGATTATTCAGTTTTTTGAAAATTTTTACTTCTAACTATTATTTAATAATAATAAAAATAATAATAATATAACTATTATTATAATTATTATTGTTTATTGGTTTTATAAAACGTTAACAATTACATACATAAATGTATAAAACAAATTTGGTACAAAAGTATAATAGCATCTCCTCGATAGCTCAAGGTTAAACTCGAGGAGAGAGTATCGAATTAGAGCAAATAAAATAGTTAATTATATAGTTACAAGGTAACGCGTACAAGGTATGTACTACAACACTGCAATTAAGCTTATATGATATAAGTAGGTACAAAATATATGTATAAGTATAACATAATAATAATCAGGTTAGTTAAGAATTGTGTTACTCAGTTAGTCAGTTACCTACCGTGTTAGACGTTATAGTATGATACTTACAAAAATATTATCGCAATAAAAAATTATAGTTATTATGTTGTATATTTTTTAAACATTTTAAAACTTTTGAAGCTACGAGTGTAAAAATTATATTTAACACAAAATGTATTTTTTTTATATTTTAAAACACTCATAGCTCGCTTTAAAAACATAATGAAAAGCCCACGAGGTTGCCTAGATAATAATAATCTTACCTTCAGATTTATAAGAGGTCAATCAACTCAAATTTTTAAACTAACGGAATTTGCCATGTTACGCACTTGTAAGACGGAGACAACATTATAGCACAAACTGTTTTGCGCATGAAAGAACCGTGAAAGTTACAGTCATACCTAACTATAATAAACGAACTTTTCACCACCACGTATAAAGGAAAACTTTGGCTGTGCATTTTAGTTTTTATTATTTCGATACAACTTATTGCGAAAAAAGTTCTTATTGTTTCATAATCCATTATTGTTTGTGTTTTTCGAACTTGAATAACTCTTTTTGAATTTCCGATATCGAAAAAATAAAAAACGACGATTGCACTGACTAAGAGTTCTACATCACAACATCTATATAGATTTTAGTGCGCTGCTGATGAAAATATGAAATTTACGACTGTTAATATGTTCCATAAATAGGTACTCAAGACAGTATAAGACCAATATTTATACTGTTGTTCGAATGTCCGATGACTGCGAAAACGCAATGTTTGTTTATTCGAGTAAGAATAATTGAAATTTATTATTATTTAGCACTAATAATAAAATATATCTCAACTATTTTATTATTATTACACCAAACCTTAGTTTATTGTAGTATTGTACCGAAGCCATATAGTAATAAAGTTTATAGTACGAAAGCGCCAAAATCCTAGATATAAAATTGCCACGGTTAACAGATATTAGGTACATTTAGAACTATTCAACTATATAATATTATAATTTGGTTATTAGCAATTTTTTAGAACATCGAAAAAATCAACCAATTTATTCAAATTATATTTATATGTAGGTATGTATATTATATTTTAACAATTTATAAATCAACTGATTTATTAAAATTATTAATTATTAATTTAGAATTTTCTTCCAGCCTAAAGCACATTATAATAAGCACTAAGCAACATAATATATAACTCCACCTTAGTATTTCTTAAATTTACAAACTCGCATAAGACAGTGATTAATGACTGAGTCATGTAGACATATTATTCTGTGGACATTTTAAATTTACCAAAGTTGACAATTTATGTTTTAGGAAAAAAATTTAATACATTATACAATATTATACATTCTTACCTCTGTAATAAAAATTGTTATAAAAATTGAAAAAAAAGGTCTTGGGGGGATCTATCCCATTTGACCGCCACTGGAGAGTATCTGAGTATGACGATAATCTGTCCACGTTCAGACAACAAGAAACAGACATTGCCAATCACGACCGATAACTCGCCGATGAGATTAACTATGGGATGGATAATAACGATGACTTAGAACACAATTTAGAGATAGGTAATCAACAAAAAGTCATTGGTAAGTATTTTAATTATTTATTAGGAAAACAATATATACATGAATATACATCTTAATCTTAATATAATATCATATTATAATAAAACATAAAATAAAATTTATTTCTCATAGTTCAAATTTTAAAACAAGTATTCAGTTTCAAAGAAGTAAATACTTATACTATCTACATAAATAAATACAACTCTTCAAATAAAATATATCCTATCTTGATATAATTTGATAAACATTTAACTACATGTCGATAAATTACATTTGAGAGGAGTAATAATTTAAATCTTTGAATGGAGGTATTTGAGTTCCATTTGTTGAGGATCGTAATTTACGTTTAAAGTTGATTTAATTGTGAGTATTTTCTTGATCACAGCGTTCAAGATTTATACAAAGTACCTTATCAAACACTATATTTTTTTTTGCCCATTTATCTAGCACATTTTTATTGCCACTTCTCAACTGTAATTTTAATGCTGGTTTATTGTTTAATGTTTCTATTTGAAAATCATTGTTAAACGCATTTGTAGAGTATGAAATATTTTGGTTATGGCCATGTACGTTTGGATTAGATGTTTCATTTATTTGAGAAACTGTTGAATCATATCCATGTTTGGTTTGGTTTTTCTTAACATTTTGTGAGTATTGTTTGCGCTGAATAACACTAGAATTTGTAATCAAATTTTTACATTCAGCATTCATAACATCCATAGATCGAAGACTTCTTTGACAAATACTTTTTAAAGGTTTTAGATATGCATAATAGGATTTGTTTTTCTTTATTTTAGGAAGATTTATTATAATATTAGATATTGCTTTATGTAAATATCTGATAATTATATTTTTACTGTATTTGGTAATATCAGCTAATGAATACCAATCGTCAATGTTATTGCATATTGTATTCCATTTTCCTGAGCCAAAAACTCCTGACGGATAAGGTGCATATTGAATTTTTCCATTTAAATACTGTAAAACAAAAATTAAATAAATTATATTAGTTAATCTAAAAATATATTTTTTTTTCCATCATTATTAATTTTGTAAATTATTTAAAAGTGAGATAGGTATTATAAATAAAAAATTATATTATAAAGCCCATTGTACTTACATACTCTACTGGTAAATTCGTAGATGAATTGGACGAGTTCTCAAAGTCTTCTCTATATAATTTATTGGTTCCAAAATACCAATAAACTGATTTATTTAGGTCATAACCTAGTGGTGTTACGTTTAACATGTGGCATATTTTAGACCTATTGGAGAGTTTATTTTGAATATCCTTCACATCAAGAATAAAATTACAAAAGATGTAAAGAGCTTCAACTTTTTGTTTACGTGTTAAATCATCAAAATATGTAGCTGATTCTAGTGAATATTTAAAGTTGTAAATCTGAAAAATATAATATACAGTACATAATTATTATATCAATAATCACTATACTATGTATCTTTAGGCAATAAAACTGTAGTTGTATTTAAAACAATATGCATTACTAAAATAGTGTAATTTACTAATTTAATATCAAAAAAGGTGTTCAAGTGGGTGTCGCTCTACTGTACAGTAAGTTACAAGTGGGTCACTTGATACATTTTGTCAAAATTCAAAACTTAAATGCTTATAAAAAAAAACTGTGCTTATGTAATTTTATTATTTTTCAACTGCTAAGGTAACAATATATCATAAAAAAATAACTAAACAATTTAAAATTTAAAATTTAAAATGTCCTTAACAGCTCAAAACAAGTCAAAATATTTTCAAAATGTTATGGTGAATATAAAATGAAAATAAAACCATTCAGTGAAATTTTTAAAGTAATTCTTTTTTTGAATTACAACAAAATAAAAAAATCCCTACATGAGAAATCGAGTGAATATCCAATCTTGTAAAAATATGAACATCAAACGCTCATAAAAATTTAATTTGACTTGTTTGTAGACATTTTTTTTGATAAAGGTAGGCAAACTTATGAGGAATTTTGTATTACATTTTGAAATCTTAGATTTAAAAAGAAACATTTTTATGAATTTCAAAACTCAAAATAAATTTGCACATTTTCGAGAACTTTACGGATTTTGTCAATATTTAAACTTAAAATACTTATAAAAAAAAAATTTAATATTTTTTATCTGTGTTTGAAATAATATATTAGGACCTTCTATTACAATTTTCAAGCTTTTTTACCCAACAAATAACATTTTATTGATATTTATAGAATAAAAACTAAAAATTTGGAAACTGAAAATGTCCGTAAATAGCTCAAAATAAGTCAAAATATTTTTAAAAAGTTATGGTGTACAGAAAATGCTAATATAACCATTCAGTCAAAATTTCATGATATAAAATATTATAAAAATAAAAGTTAAATAAGATTATAACAAAACTTCTATGCTGTTTGATAAAAAAAAAAAAAAAACATACAAAATATTTTTTGAAATAGAACTTAAATATGCATACCTATTCATTAAATTCCAGACCTAATATTCATATATTTTAAAACAATTTAGACATTTTAAAATTAAAAACATATTAATTTTAGTTTGAACTTACAATGCATTTACTCCGAAAAAGTTCTTTCATAATATTCCACCATTCATTTGTGTTTGGATCATAAGAAACACAAATTTGGGTAAATCGGATAGCCATATCAGTCAACAAATATGAATTCTCTTCAACTGCATTCTCAAATTCCTGTAAATTTTTTTTTGTTAAAAATAGTATTATAATACAATTTTTTATAATGGGTACACTCCTATTAAATATTGACCCATTGTGTCAAGTTAAACAGTGTAGATAACATTTTGGATAAGTATTCTAAAATATATTTGGTAATGTATCTATCATGTTTTATTTAATCATTATTATACACATAACTGTGAATTAATTTAAAAACCATAATATGTATAACAAATATGGTTTCACATTACATCTATAAAATATAGACATTTATAACTAAATAGTTATAACAATTAATTTTGTTATTTAAAAAGAAAAAACTATTTATAACAATTACTGTTTAACATCTAATTAACAATTAAACATATTATATAATATAATTTATAATTTTTATATAATAAATAAATAAATAAATTTAATTTCTTTAAATAGGTATTTTTATTTTTGTAAAATATTTTCAAGCTCTACTGTTATATTTCATTTCCATATTATAGTATAATTTACTACTTTGTACTTACATTTATGTCTATTCGACTGATATCTTTAGTGATAAGTGTGAAAATTTTACAAAAATGTACAATACTGGGGATCTCCCACCAAGTTTGAATTTCTGAAATATAACAAATTTATTATTCTAATATATTTTACTAATGCATCATAATAAACAAACAACAAAATCACATTAGATTTAAAGAAATAACTACAGGTACCTAGTCAGTCTAAAATTTACATTAAACTTAAGGATCGTCACAGAGAAGTCTTATTTTTTAAAAGATCAGAACAAAAATGGAACACAGGTTATTAACAATTATAATATTATTAAAAAAACTTTTAAAAATACAATTAAAATGAATATTTCATTTTTTTTGTAAATATAACTATTTTATTTTATTACAATGTAATCTAAATTACAATGTAACCCAATTTTAAAGATATAATATTATATAATGTAGGTACCATACATGAGTCAATTATTATTAATATTATTTAACACAATACCTAATAAATTTATTCAATCAATTACTTAGATTTTCTAGACATTTAAGGATTGTCCTGTATTAATACCAACTTTTTTTTTTCAAATGGGAATCACACTTTTTCATATAAAATTAATTGACTTTTTTGAAAATGTTGATTTTGCTCTCTGAACACCCTCAATTTGATTTCTATCGCAAGGACTATGTAGTTTTATTAATCAATAAATTGCATTTGAAAAGGGGGGGGGGAGGATCCTCATTTGAAAAACAGAAGTTTGAGTCACCACAGGACTACCAAATACTACAAAAAAATTCAAGAATTTAAAAAATGGTGTGAGTTTATTTAAAATTTCTAAAAATCAGAATTTGAATAAATTCATTATTGAAGGAAAACATGGGGATGAGCATGTTTTTTAAATCACACCCTGCATACAATGTAAAAACCAAGGTATGTTATCAATATCATAAAAATTATATATAAATACATTTTTTTTTCCAATTTACATAGGTAGGTACTACAATATGATGGTCATAATTATAATATTAAAAGTGTTTCAGAAAAAAATATACAATATACATTTTTATTGAGAAAAATCTGTACAAATGAGCATATAATAAGTTATGATCACTCTGTACCTACCTATATAAAAAGTAGTTTTATTTGCCATTGGTTTTGTTTTTTTATAATACAAGATTCCATACACCATTTAATGTGAAGTGTCTATATCGATGACGTAGCGCACAAGTGTGATAAGTGATAGTGTAAAAAATGAGTTAAGTGCATAATCAATTTAATCCTACAATTCTGCACATTATGCCCAAACGTTGTAAGTGAATAGTTCATTATTTACTCCGATAGATGTCGTACAGTTCGTTACATTTTTGAATTTGTTATAACATCTCAGACTTAAAAATCGTTCTCCTGAACAATTACGAAAATGCCACTTATCACACTTGTGGCGCTACGCCATCGATATGGTTTTATCAAAATGTTAGCAATAAAAAAAGTTTTGTGGGGGATCTATCCTCCTATTCTTACCCCTAATTACGCCCCTGTTGTGCCCATGCGCATATGGCATTCAAATTGAGATAAACGTAGGTACACCCCCCGCTTGATAAATTTGAATTCACATTCAACGAAAAAACTTTCAATTTCTTTAACTTTTATCTCGTTCAGTTTTGAAAACTACGTGAAAACTTACACGGACATTACAAAGGTAATAAACTAATAAACAATATTATGATGATGATATTATGCACAATACGTCCAAGCGCATAAGCCACAAACAAAAACGGAGGGAAATATTATAAATTGTTGTTTACGACGATAATTGTATCCTCAGCAGTATTGAACGTAAGACACTTATAATATGTTATGGTATTGATACTCGCGTAATGGTCGCACACGATATGAAAGTTGTAATATTTTTCGACGTCCTCCGTGAAACGAGTACCTACCTACACCTATTTAGTTATAACAGTATTAGTCATGTGAATTAGCGCCGTTATACTCACCGTCGTCCATCGTCGTAGACGGCCTCGAAAAAAAATATTTGAAAATACCGATTTGGTATAATAATATCACGTGAACACAATATCGTAAAATATTTATAGTTATATAGACTACGATAGACTACGTTAATTACTGTACAGTTTAAATCACTTCATATGGCATAAAAGCTATATTATATATAGCTATATAATAGCCGACAGATTATATCGAGGAAGCGTTTGACCTGCCAACGAATCACTCGAGTCTCGGATCGGCGAGTACTGAGCAGTGAGCTGCGGAGACGGCGCCACACTCGCGAAATATTATTATCGCGGATAACGGACCGCGTCCACGACGGTGGTGGACAAAAGTACTAGAACCACTCCGCGCGTCGAGAGCATGCCCGGTTTTAAACGGTTAACAGGTCAAAGACTAAAGGCGGGTTTCCGCTATACGCGGATGCGAGTACCTACGTGCATACAAATCATTTGCTGCGATTGGTTGTTTACGATCAGTTACCACACGGTTAACGGTTAACCATGATACCGCGTTGTTGGACATAGCTGCACATTTTTCGTGTACAAGACAATCGCGTACAGTGGAAACCCGCCTTAAATAGACTTCTCCGCGAGTCGCAGCACGTCATCAAAACTGACAACACTGTACCGTGGGACGCAGTGTAAGACGCTGGAAGAAATGTCGAGGGGGGGGGGGTTGAAAAAATAAGAATTATTATCTACCGTTGTTTTGAAATGATTATTTATTGTATTTTTTTAAGTTGTAACAATAAATTATGAAATCAAATTCATCCGCATCGGTGTTTTTACCATAATATCCAAGATGTCTTCACCAGGTACCTCCACGTCTCCGTATAATATGTTTAAAGATATAGGTAGGTACAACATGTGAAAGATCAGGCAGGTATAAAATAAAAAATATTTCCAACGATCGATAAGTCAAACGGTACAAATATAATTATCAAACAATTAGTAGTTAATATTATATAGTTAACCTACATATAACGTATAAAAGAACCATTAATCGTAGGTTCTATGCCTACCTATCTCAAATCGTGATTGAAAATTACTTATCATATGTAATTATGTAAACCTAGTGTATATTTGTAAATTGTAATTAGATATTAATGAGGTGGTAATTACACTGATTAGCTTTTAAAAAAATATTCGATCAATCAATTTCGTGTGATCGTGAGTAATATCGTGTAGTTTGTGGATCAGTTTTCCTAGGGTCGGGGGATTTTTTCCCTTGGATTTTTATTCCATAATTCACTCGTCTCCATATTATGGTTCAGTGCATATAATATTGTAAAATTACGTATAAAACAATCTTACCAATAAACCGACTCATAAATCGTTTTATTGTGATGTAGTCCGCAGTAGGTTATAATAAATATAGATGTATAAAAAAAAATAGAAATTCTACTAATCTATGCTTATTTGTGTATGGATCAAAATACATTTTTTTTTCTTAGTACGAACAATTTTATATTTTGGTCTATGCACTGTACTTAGCAGTAGGTATTTAAGTATTTTGTATACCCGCTACCCAGGACAACATGATTTAGGGTACAATTATACGACAACAACACAATATAAATGGTGAAGTGGATTCCCCAACTTAATTTCAGAGTTCCAAATTTTTACTCCAGATGCTCCTTCCCTTTCCAAATTCCTGTTAGCCGCTGTAACTATTTAGTAAATAGTCCTATTGTTCGTATGATGAAACTAGCGAATGAGGACCCACTATTCCTGAATGCTTGGCAATAAATTATTATCTGTTGTTCTATTTTTTTTTTTTTTATTATTTTAATTGTATTTTGTAATTTATGCAACGTTCTCTTAGTTATTATGTTATTATGTCTATTTGCTCTATATCCTAATTGTATATTTGTATTTTTTAATTTATGTAACTTTCCTTACTTTATGTACATTCTATGTAATTGGGCACGTCCCGTATTTCAATTAATAAATAAATAAATATCGAAAGAATCCAATCCGTTTTTGTATTTTTGTCAGTGAAAACTAAAACGCCGAGTCGAACGCTTTACGTAATTTAGTAACGTAACTGTTTCCGCGTAACACAATTACCGTGACGGACCGGGACACTGTGCTACTGTTCTACAGCACAGTGTGCTGCGGGCTACGGTTATGTAAAAAAAAAAATTGAATAAATATTTCAAATCAATCTAGGGTATTCGTTTAGTATGTGACCTACCAGACAGCGTGCCCTACCGTATTGGGTATTCATTTAGTATATGATCCACAGGACCATTAATTAATTTAAAAACAGTTAAATTAAAAATCATAAAATTATGTAAATAATTATTTAACTAATATATTAGTAATACAATATACAAATATAAAATAATACAGGATTACATTTAACAATGTCAATATGAGTTAAAAATAATGAATGAAGACACATAGGTACCTATAACAACAATAGGTATGTCAAAACTATTCAATAAATTTCATAAAATTATGTTGTTATAAAAAAGTTTTATTTTATTTAAATTATATTTTTAGAAATACACTTTTTGTATTTTACTTAAATTTCAAAAATTCATCTTACCTATTAATAGATCAGTACCCGTACGTTGTCCGTACATAATATAGATAATTGTCTTGGTAGGTCACATACTAAACTCGATTTTCACTCTGTGGGTCACATACTAAACGAATACCCAATCTGGTAATGCTTACAGGTTTATTACTAGTTGAACTTAGTATAGGTAGCACCACAGAACATAATATTATCTATTATTTATTAATTAATTTATTTATTTACGGGTAAGACCCAATTACAAAAGATTATTAATGTGAACAAGAAGTAGTGAAAACTGAAAAGTATTTGCTATAGTTACCTACTGCAATACTTTTTATTCAAGTTTACTCTATTGGTATTATTATAATATTCGTGTTAAGAATATTTGTATGAAAACATTTTTTTTTAGAATAGGAATGTTAACACTCTATAGTCTATTGGTTTTATACTTCTATCCATGATGAAAAAGCTATACGTCATGCCCGAGAGAATAAATTGTCAGATTTGTGCTTTTATTTACTTCATTCGCTTAATTTACATATGGCCTACTTATTCTAATTTATATGCCGCCATGGAATATGTACGAACTTTATCGGTGTCTCGGGTTAACTGTGAACGAGTAATTAGCAAATTAAAAATTATCAAAAATCGTCCACGCGCTTCATTATCGCTTTGAGGATTTTTTTATTAATGTCTGTAGAAATAGATATATTAAATGATTTGAAGTTTGGAGGTATTTTGGACATTATTGAAAACTCATATTATCATACTTTATCTAAATTATTATCGTACACTTAATTACATATAAATATATAATTTATTATAAGATTTAATTTTTCATACTGCTATATAGGTACCTACTCAGTGCAGTTACCTGTGTAGCTATGTATTGATATATTTTACATTTTCTTTATAATCAACATAGAAAAAGTTTCTAAATCATAGTTCTTGTACTACTATACTATTGAGAAAAATGTAATATTTTGTTGGTTTAAGTTGGGCCAATAAATGTCGGAAAATAGGCTGGTTGCTTACAGAGAGTAGTGGGCCGAAACACTCCCAGTCCGGCCCTGAACGAAAAATTCCTGTAGGTAATACAACGGCGGTCAAATGGAGCAAACAAGCACTTTTTCAAAGGGGGGAGGGGTCCATACTGGTTAGAAAACATACATTTTAAACAAGGACTAAGAAAAAAAAATCTGGTACCTATAATCTATATACTTACATACCAAATTTTTCATGAAAATTGAAAATGTAAATCAATGTTTAATAATATTTTAGAAATTGAGAAAATTCATATCTAATATAGGTACTTATATTAATATAAAACCTAAACGACGTTTGGAATTAGCTATATAGGTACGTATTTATAATTTCTTCGTATTATGTTATATCTACTGACGTAAAAATGAATATTTAGAGCAACTAGTGGCCATAGAAATAAAATAAAAATACGGGGCACTTAAAAAAAATAGATAATAATTACTTGTTTTTACATACATAGGTAGTAGTAGTTATAGGCCTGGTACACAAAATCTTTTTCAAAATTACTCTTTAAGTGTGTTATGAGTATGTAAAATATTAATATTCATAATTCACTTGAAAATTAAAATATCGTGAAAAACCGATCGAGCGAACACAGCGAACACACGTTCTTGCATAAAAGTTTGATAATAGGTCAATTCATTTCATAATCAAAATTAACTACAGTACACGATGTTGAAACTGGCGAACGAAAATTTTCCATATCGTACGTGCCTAAGACCTATAATAGGCTATGTAATGGACAGCGCATTCCACTCCACCCTGCCATCAATGCTAGGTGATCATATTATAATTTATAACCATATTATAACTGAGGGAGAAAGAACGTAAAGTAGTGAAGGAGTCCGCATAAGAAACTGTATTAATTTGACAACTTTGTTTCATTTCTTGCTCACTCTATATCGCACCCCTGACTTTCTCTCTCTAAACGCTGTCCATATTAGTTTATAGGTCCATGGTAATATTATATAAATTATCAATACTTTTACAATACTACAATAATATAAATAATCGAAATTTTAAATAAAAATATTCTTATTGTTTATATTACAGACCTGCGTCACATTGCATCGTCGAAATTCGCGGTCGTCACCCGCCGGCCAACACCGATCGACGACAACCGAATAACCAATTATTTATAGATTTAATTTAATCGATTCCACGGGACACGGGAGTTGATTTTTTTATTACAGTTATTTTCATTACTCATTAATTATTATTCAGTTTATGTTATACCGTAAGTTATAGATAATAATATTATTTGTTATTCATGATATTTTACTGGCCTATTGCTTCCTAGTATTGTTGTGTTGCAAATTGCAATTATTGTTATAAGGGAGAAAATTACGAGACACCGATTAGAAAAATAATCGTCTTAAAAATCTAATTGTTGTCATAGTTTGCAACACGGGCTACAACCAGTG